CCAAACCTAAACCTCCCATTAGGCTCCATCTCCTATCCCTGTGACATTCACTGAGGATTAAGTTTCCAACACACAAATTTTGGAGAAGACAAAAACATTCAAACCATAGCAGTGCCACATCTTGGGTCTCTTTTCATTCTATGTCCTTGCCTGGGGAATCTATTTTTCTGCCTGAAGCTCCAACTGCATCCACATAAAATTACAGTCTGTGTTTTCAACTCATGCCTCTCATACTTTTAGTTATTTCTGTCTACCTACACACCTCAAATTCAAATATGGTATGCCCACAACTAAACTACCATCTTCTGTCTCCCTATGTACAATTTCAAACCCAGTTCTTCTTCAACATGCATTCCTCAATGTTATCACTGTCGCACTTCAGTGTCAAAATCATTCTTTGTTTATCCTTCCCCTTCACTTGCCTTCACAATCCAGTCTCAAGTCCTATTGATTCTTCATGTCTTCAGACTTTCCATGGTCACCACTCCCTTCCAGCCATTAGTTTTCTATTTTTGCACTTGCACCAGTTAAAAGACACCTTGTTAGCATGAGCTAAGTCATCTGCAATTTGTCCAGGATCCTGGAAGATTAGACACTCAATATATGATAAATAAGTGAATCAGTACTCTCACTCAATTTAAAAGATTTCAGTACTCTCTAGCCCATATGGCATGAACTTCACAGCCTTTGCCATCACACAGAGGGTATTTTGTGACCTAGACCTTGTATACATCTCTAGCCTCAAATTAGTGATCCTCCCCACTTGCACTCTCTATTCCAGGAATAACCAACTATCTACAGTTCTCCGAACAAGGCATTTCCTGTAACTCTGCCTTTGCAGGCTCTTTTTTCTGTCTAGAATCCTCTTCTCATCCTCTACTTGGAAAATGATTCCTTCAAGATTCTTAGTGAAGCTTTGCTGTCTTTCCTTCTTCCTCCACATCCCCTACAAAGTTCTCCATAAACAGCTTCATTTTTTATAATTCAGTTGAAGTACTTGTACATAATATAACACTGTACATACTGACTTGTAGAGCTGCCTGAGGAGAGGGTTGTCTAGAATGAGGACATTTCTCTTCCATTTTCAGGAAGCTCCCTCCTCCTTTAAGAGCCACTGGACATCCCAGACCATGAGATCAGTCTTCCAAGGCCCTGATAGTTCACACAATATCCTACAATGAGTCAGTGTTCAGACTTTTTCTAGGGCTGTGGTGTCACTGCTCAGAACTGTTTCACCTCTAAAATTCCAGTTTCCACCCCAAACTACCCGCTCTACACATCACATTCATTTTACCTTCAACCCCTACCCCTTTCCTTTCATCCAGCCTACCAGGGTCTTCCTGATGAGCTCTCTTACAACCCAGCTCCAATCCCAAGGCCACATCTCCATCAGTCTCTAATGACTCTGCCCTTCAGACACACCAACCTTACAAAACTCAACCCTGGCACAGTCCACTTTTTCCCATCTTACCTTCTTGGCAGCTGAGCACTGCTAGAGAAAGTCACAACTTGGCTCTCAGCCACTAAAATTCATGGCTTTCTAGCTCAAATGGGTTCTTAAAACATTCTTCAATCTTTTTACTTGGCTTTGTTTCAGTTTCCTCAATCTTCCTAGTGGTTAGTACTAACAAAAATGTGAGACATGATCTATGGCAAATAGGTTACCAAAACAATGTTGAGGGTACTGGATATAGTATGAGAAGAAAACAAAAAGTCAGAGCAGATGTAATAATTCAGCAGTAATGCGTACATATCTCCTTCAGGCTCTACGTCATTTACTTTCATGGCACTAAGAAATATTTTTGCCATCCTCTCAATTCCTATAGATTGCTAGAGTTTGAAAAATGAGGTGAAGTGCAGACCGTTAGTAAAAATACCACTTTCAAATATCTTTATGTCCAAGGCACCCTTCATACTTATTATCCTTTGTCGAAGAGACACACACAATTTTTGTTGGTTTTCATTTTAATTTATTCTGCGCAGTTTAAAGTGAAAGTTAAAACATACAAACCACAGCTTTAGATATATAGAGTACTGACAAGTTTTAAACAAAACCAGTTTATGATCATGTACACACATTCATCATTTTTAATTTTACATCTTATTATACCAAGGTAAAACACATAATTCTAATTCCTGATGAACCTATTTGTCAAGCAGCAAGATGACAATTTATTGAGGCAGAGCACAGAATGTCTCCTTTAAGAAACCACAGCAGCAGTATTTGGTGAAGGGTTATGCACAGAACTGACTTGGAGGATAATGCTAAAAATTCCTCATAAAACAGGTAGCACATGTATACTAACAAATGGAAAATTTAACTTTTATTAAGATAAAATGTTACTCTTTATACTTTAAGTTAAAAACTATTGAACACTTTAGAAACAGACAATACAAGGTGCATAAATTCTAAACTCCCTAACAGAAGATTATTCCATTAGTCACTTCGGAGTGTATAACCTTTGAGGACTGCTCATGGCTTTTAAAAGTCAACCTCAACTATAAAAGCACTTGAAGTTCACCAGCCAAAATCTAAAGTTATATAAACTGACTTTTTAAAAGAACACGTTGTCTAAAATAATTTCAAAATTTTTTGCTCTTAAAAGTAAAAATGCACTACTTTCAAATCTCTCAACATGTTTTGAGATGCCATATTTTATGATTACTTTATATATTCCAAACTTTCGGCAAAATAACATTTTGAAATGGTTTTTTAACCTAATAATCTCTAAAGAAATAGGTCTGCATGCCTGTGAAATGGCTGTCTATTCTAGGTTTCCACTATGAAAATGTCCTTATAAAATCCATTAAGTGACTTTTATACTCAGCTTGATATAAATATTAAAAACCTCATTTGACAGCACTACACAACTATTTAATGTTTTTTGGCATCCAAATCAGAGCAATGTTATCAACACAATTGGTACAGGCAATTTACACAAAGTTTCAAAGGCAAAAGATTTGGAAATTGGGAAGGAACTGAAACAACCTACTAGAGTCCTCAACTTTAGAATTAATCCTCAATAGATAGCATACTTGATCACCATGGTTCCTGGTGAGGATTCAGACACAAGATGCTAATACATGTGTTTTGTTTATTTTGAGTCAGTCTCCCTCTGTAGCCCAGGCTGGAGTGCAGTGGCATAGCTCATGGCTCACTGCATCCTCGACCTGCTGGGATCAGGCAATCCTTCTGCCTCAGCCTCCCGAGTAATGGGGACTACAGGCCTGCACCACCATGCCCAGCCAATTTTTTTTTTTTTCTTCTAGAGACAAGGTCTCACTATGTTGTCCAGCCTTGTAATCCTCTCTCCTCAGCCTCCCAAAGTGCTGGGATTATAGGCGTGAGCCGCCGTGCCTGGGGTAATTACATATGTTTTTAATGCTCATAACCTTTTAAACTTTAAAAGTAACCAGAGGCTAGTCCACCTCCCACCGAAGCTGAAAAAGTAGTTGTGATGTAGTTCTGGTAAGTTTAGCTACAAAAGCACTAAAACAGGAAAAGAAACACTATTCCACATAAATAATTCTGCATTAACAACTATTTCTCTTACCTCTCTCAGTAGCCTTAGAAATACGTACTATAGTGTGTTGTGAGGTGAAGGAAAATAAAACGTTTTAAACAAAGATTAGTTGGTAAGTCTTCATACTGGCCTCAGTAACTTCTCTTTACTCTGAGAGTTAAAACATGGTGAATATGAGCTATTAGGATACTTTTAGGTATCTTTCTCAAGTAAGTTACACAGAGTATTTCTTAAAATTCTACAAAATAAGATATGCTTGAAGTATATAAATGTAAACAGATGCCAACATGTATACCTTTACATAGATTAATTTGGACATAACTCATAGATTTTGGGAGGAGGGTTGCATCAGCCATCATTCTTTAATACTGACACAACAGGAAGCTTGCCAGCTTTTAAGTTTTTTGCAACTATTGTCTAAACCTTAGACAGCCACCATAAAACAGAATCCATAACCCAAAACATTAGACTATGAAAAATCTACTTTAAGTATTCTCCCAGTACCAAGAAGTTTTTTGGGCTTTTTCTAACTGATAATCATTTTAATATGGTATTTAGCTAGTATAAAGCATTAACACTAATGCTTGAAACTGGGTCACTGTTTTGTTATGCCCTACAGTCACATAAAAATAGAAAATGGCATCTAATAAGGAAATGAAGACAATGATTGTGCCCCTCTCTCAGTTGCTGGGAATCTTCTCCTAGCAAATACATTAAAGTTATACTTTGTGAATTAATTCCCTTTGAATATCTCCAAAGAGCTACAATAACAGCAAAGAGATGTTCATCAAGAATACAACTTGGGGCAGAGCCAGTAAACTGTTAATAAACAAAACCATAAGCATGAAGTGTGAGGTATCAAACAGCATCATGAGAAAGAGGTCAATTCAACCAACATTTTGTGATGACTAATTCTTGAGAAACAAAGGTTAAAAACATAAGAACTTGGATTAATAAAATAAGTTGGCTTTGCATTTCATTCTTCTTGTACAAAGCAGAGAACACTAAACAGAAAGGTTCTTTAATTCATATCTCTCTTCCCCAGTAAACACTCAGTCCAAAGTTCAAATTAGGACAAACATGGAAACCTGGCAAGAGTCATTTCATAGCTACCCGGGTATTTTCACCCACTATTTTTCCTAATACCCAGCACCTTTGAGGTTTTGTCACTCAATTGTTTGTGAAGCGGTAATTTTCTCAACAACACGTGCCTTGAGAATGAAGTAGAAGACAGTTTTTAGATTCCTAAGTTACTATTCTAAAATCTTGAATAGGTTACTCCCCAGAAATGTATTTCATATAGGATAACAATTTTAACATTTTGAGTCAGAATTAAGTTCCCAATAACTGCTATCTTAAAAAGAAAAACAAATTTACAGACTACCATTTTTAATTTAATCTAAGATACCAACAATTGTTAAGATGCACCATATGTATCACTAAGAAAAAACACTGCTCATTAAACTGACACAATGCTTTCGCATCACAGAAAATATTTATTTTATATTTATTGAAACAGCACTTTTAGAGTTAAACAGATTTTTATCACTCACTCTTGTGCATATGTAAAGAAAATGTGTTAAATCAGTTAAGTTATAATTACAACTTCATATTCCGAGTCCAACTCTTCTGAATCACTTTTCAAGTCACAGTCATCTATGTCTGCATTTTCCCACACATCTCTCTCCATGTCGTGAAGCACACTGGGTATGCAGCGTTTCTTGAAAGAGTGCTCTACCACTGTTTTCTGCTTAATGGCAGTGTGAAGTTTTGGACAAAATAATGTTTGATGCCTTAACAACAGTCCCTCTTAACGTATGAATCAGTCACACCAGCCTCTCATTGCTTTGAATTTTGTTTCATCAATTCCGAGAGTTTTGGCAATTTCTCCCGCCCTCAACTGCATTGCTTGACGTGTGACAGACAATCCTTTTGCACGTGTTTCACTGACAAAATGTAGTACAACTTCATATACTTGTGGGTATCTTCCTTTCCTAGGTCCTGTAAAGCATTTTGTTGTTTCTTTGCAAGAAAATATAGAATTTCAGTTATTCCTCCAATGACAGATATTTGCTTCACTAATGTTAAAGGTATGCCCTGCTGCTCTGTTTCCATGCTTTTCTGCATATGCAATAACTTTTCGTGTCAATGCTGAATCATAGTGTAATCTTTTTGAAGACATTATAAAATGCCAATTAAACTGGACACATCTGATACCAACAATACACATGTTCGTTTAAGTAATGACACTATGACAAGCTGTAAATTCACACACGCACAAGGTAGTATAATTACATAACTATCACCTAGTTGACAGTAATGAGATGCATCCCAATTTCAGACAAGTTAAAATGTGAAAAAAGTACACATCGTAGGACTAATAAAATGTGGCTTTTCAAGCCTGTAATGTTTACCAGATTTGCACCATTGCAAGAAAATAAGCCCAAGAACAAAGGAATAAGTGTTAAGTAAAAAGCTAGTGAAGCAAAAGATTACCTTTAAGATTAAATTTGCAATGGTCCAATTTGGTTTTAATTCCCTTATTTTTATATGGCTTAAATGTAAATCTTTTGAAGTGGACTTAAAATCCAAGTACAAATGTCCTTCAGTCATTTAGTAAATTTCAAAGCCAAGTCACTAAAGACAAAGGCTGACAACTGCCTTTCATCATTCACTACTAAAGGATGATGCCTGGGGTCAGTGGCCTTCATCGGCAGGTGCCCTCCTTTGGCGAGCAGATCTGATCCTGTGTGGAGAGGATGAAGTGTCTTCTTCAGTTTCAGACCCTGAAGGCTCGTGATCTCCCTCTTGGGATCCTGTGTCTCCCACCAGTTCCCGGAGAAACTTGAATTTTAGTAAAAAGAGATGCCATACAAAATACCAACCTAAAGAAAGACAGAAACAATAGAAAAGTTATTACACACAATTTAGAATGTTACAGGTAATTGTTACAGAAGGATTATATTACAAAACAGTATATGTAATGTAAATATGTATGCAATTACAAATATATATTTATATAACAAACATTTACTAGGTATTTACAATGTACAGGCATAAAGATAAATTCTGGGACTACACAGTGATAGAAAAAACAATTTCTGTCCTTATAAATTTAAATTCTAAGATTGGCCCATCTATGTGCAAGTTATAATGAGATTAAGATACCTAAGCAAAAGTATTTATTATATTAAAATAAAATTTTTGAAAGCATTTGTTCTGTGGAAGAAACAATCTACTTTGTTATTTACTTAGACATTCATATCTTAGGTTATTTATTAAAATCAAAATGCAAAAGATATTAAATAGCAGGAATCAACTCCACTTTAGTGAAAACTTCTCAGTCAAGATAGTGCTATCTATTAGGTTTCTAGAAATAATTTTCACAGAAAATATACTTTTGTTTTTACAATGAGTTTTAAGTTAAATAAGTTAAATAAATTTAGACGCCACAAATAAGGAACAAACATTCAAAAATGTTTATAAATGAATGCACAGGATCAAACTTCTGAACTTATGCTTGGTTGCTCTTAATTGTTAAAGAGCATGAAATCGATAAAGTTAGCCACTGTAACAAAGTTTTTCATGCTGACGTGTTTTCAGGGTGCTGTCTACTCTAAACACTCTTATTTCATAGAATAACAATGGGCTGCAGCATTTTTTGTGAAAAAAATCTAGCCAGGTTTTCTACCCCAATGTTAAACCAGACCAAGATGAATGGGCACTTAAAGAAAGTTTCTAATTTTACTTGTATCATGCTTACAATCTCTGGGAGAAAAAAAGATTACCATAAACAAGAAGACACGAAAAGACTAACTTTAGAGATTTAATCTATTTCTCAAGTTCTTACTTTCCTTTAAGCTTGAGTGTTGAGTGCTAACTGAATCAAACCAAAAATATTTTTTGATCAACTGTGTGTTTGAGTAAAGCACTCAACTTTGAAAAATAGCATTTTAATGATATTCCAAATTAGCATTTCTTTCTTTACCCAAAATTCTTTGTAAAATAGGCACAGCGAATTATTAGAAAAAACACTGAGGAGGGAGTCAGGAGTCCCACTTCTGACAGAAGAGCACAAAGCTATTGTGAGGAATGAATGAAAACCCCAAAAGAAACCATATCATCAGCAGTCACTCCTCATCCCCGCTCCCCCCTTAAACCTGGCAACCACTAATCTATTTTCTTCTATCTGTATGAATTTGCCTATTCTGAATACATAAGTCAGATCAATGTGTCTGGTTTCTTACACTTAGCCTATGTTTCCAATATTCATCCATAGTGTTAAAATAACTTCTCCAAATAAATATTTCCCTAATGACTAATTATGTTGAGCATCTTTTCATAATTATTAAAAGAAGTACTTCACTTTTTATTGTTGAATAATATTCCATTATATGGATATATCACATTCTGCTTAACCATCAACTAATAGACATTTGGATAGTTTCTACTTTTTGGCTATTATAAAAAAAGTTTTCACCTTTTGGCTATAATGAATGTTTGTGTACAAGTTTTTGCATGGACATATGCTTTCATGTCCTTTGGATATATTCTAAAAACATATGTTTTCATTCTCTTGGGTCACATAGTAACTGTTGAACCCACTGTGAAACTGCAAAGCGGCTATACTACTTTATATTCCCACCAGTGATGTATGAGGTTCCAATTTCTCCACCTCCTCATCAACACATTTTACTGGCCATCTTTTATTTTATCAGAGTCATTCTCGTGGGTGTAAAATGATATATCATGCAGCTTTAATATGCATTTCCCTAATGATGTTGAGTATCTGTTCATGTGCTTATTAGTCATTTGTCTATCTTCTTGGAGAAATATTTATTCATTTTATTTGCCCATTTTTAATAGAGTTGCTTGTCTTTTTATTATTGAGTTGTAGGAGTTTTTTATATATTCTAGCTACTAGATGCCTATTAAATATATGATTGACAAGTATTTTTCCCACTCTGTAGGTTGTCCTTTCACTGTCTTAAAAATGTTCTTGAAGAACAAAAGTTTTTAATTTTAAGGAAGCTCAATTTCTCATTTTTCTTTTGTTGCTTGTGCTTTTGGTGTCAGATCTAGGAAGCTACTAACTAATCCAAGGTCATGAAGATATACACCTATGTACTCTTCTAAAAGTTTTAGCTCTTCATGTAAGCGTTTGATTCACTTTTGTTAATTTTGGTGTGAGAGGGGGGTCCAAATTCATTCTTTTGCTTGTGAATATCAAGTTGCCCCAGAACATTTGCTGATAAGACGATTCTTCCCCACGCTTGCATCCTCTTGGCACCTTTGCAAAAACCAATTGGCCCTAAAAGTTACAGTTCATTTCTGGACTCTCAGTTTTATCCCATTGACTTGTATATGCCTATCTTTATGCTAGCACCACACCGCTTTGGTTACAGAAGCTTCATACTAAGCTGTGAAATCAAGAAATGTGAGTCCATTAACTTTGTTTTTTCCCCCAAGATTGTTTTGGCTATTCTGACTATTTTGGCTATTCTGGCTATTTGAATCACTTTGTCAATTTCTGCAAGAAAGGCAGTGAGAATTTTGATAGGGACTGCTTTGAATCTGTAGATCAATTTGTTGATTCACATTTTTTCTCTTACACTTCTCTGTACTTACCAAATTTCCCTACAATGAACACACATGGTTTGAAAATCAAGAAAAATAAGAAACTGGTAAAGCAGGGTTTGGTGGCTCAGCCTGTAATCCCATGCTTTGAGAGGCTGAGGTGAGTGAATTGCCTGAGCCCGCGGGTTCGAGACCCGCCTGGGCAACTTGGCGAGCCCTCATCTCTACAATAAATCAAAAATTAGCCGGGTGTGGTAGCGCGTGCCTATAGTTCCAGCTACTTGGAAGGCTGAGGCGGAAGGCTCGCCGGAGCCCAGCAGTCGAGGCTGCAGTGGCTGGGAGCGGCCACTGCACTCCAGTCTGGGTGACAGAGTGAGACTTCAACTCAAAAAAAATTTAAAAATAAAATAAAAAATAAATAAAGAAAAAAAAAGAGAAAGCAAAGTGTCTCAGCACAGAAATCTACAAAATAGGGAACTAAGGATTCACTAAGTCCCCTACATAAGAACAAGTTCCATTCCTAAAGCGTGTTCGTAAGTCTAATTTGTTTGTAAGTCCAACAAAGTTAGCCTAGGTACCAAACTAACACAACCGGCTATATAGTACTGTATTGTAATAAGTTTATAATACTTTTCACACAAATAATACATAAAAAGATAGGTATACAGTACTGAACAGTAAAGCACACAAAAGCACAACCATTTGTAGAGGATGCATACATATGACAACATACACCAGATACATAAACTAACTTACATGACTGGACAAGAAAATGCATGTTTGCATCTTTCAAAGTTTGCAACTTGAAGGTTTGTATGTAGGAGACCCATTGTAGCTTAGTGTCAGAGTCTTGGGATATAAGAGCGTTCAGCTAGATTACAGACTCCTCAACTTTAATGAAAGGAACCCCTACACACAAAAATAGTTTTATGTACTACCAGCAACCAAACAATGTAAGGGATTTAATCTCAAGTCAAAATTCAGAATGTTGTGCCGATGACAGAAACTCTAGAGTACGAAGCACAGTAAGTTATGGCTACTATGTCCACACTCACCACTCCCCTTCTTATTCCCACCAGCTGAACCACTCCAAATTCATACTGCTGTATTTTTTAATTCTCAAGTCTGAGATAAGCAAGCTTGAAAAGCGTGCTTATTTCTCCCTATTCTGTCTGCTGGGAGAAGACTGCAGGTATTCTGTAGGCTGGGAGAAGCATGCAGGTAGTGACACTGCTTCCCACCAAAAAATCATGAGATATATGTAATATAAATATAGAGTTCATCTGCTGGGTAGCCAGAAAGAACAAATATCCACTGTGCTTGTTTCTTGTTTTTGTTTTGTTTTTGTTTTTACAATAACTGCTGTAATGATAGGCAGTATAAAAGAAAGAGATAAAGTGTAGTGTTGATAAGAATTGCAGTGGATTCACTAAACTGAGGGAATTTCAACACGCTATCCTCCAAGAAAAATGACTAAGTTCCCACAGAGCTGTGATTTGGTGAGGAAAGATGGGAGGAGGATGGGAGAGTGGTCTTCATCTCACAATACCCAGGATTGGCAAGATCTGATGCCTCTATAACAGGCTGTTTACCAGAGTATTAATTGTCTGAACCAAGGATGATACTAAAAATGCCAGGCAGTTTGAATGGAAAAACAACTACACATAGACTCATTTATTTTGGAAAATGAACCATTATTAAAATTCCAAAGAGTATATACCATGAAAAGCATGCTTCAGCAGGGGAAAAAACTTAAAGTGGTAGTACTGTGCCAGGTGAAACTGCTAATAAGATATGCAATTGTTATGTTAATTAGAAATGAAAATAATAATAGCTAGGAGGCATCACACTACCTGCCTTAAAAAGAAACTATAAAGCTACCGTAACCAAAACAGTATGGTTCTAGCATTAAAACAGACAGATCAATGAAACAGAATAGAAAATCCAGAAATAAATCCATGGATTTAAAGCCAACTGGTTTTTGACAAAGTGCCAAGAACATTCAAGTCCCTCAAAAACCTAAAAATAGATCTACCATATGATTCAGCAATTCCACTGCTGGGTATGCATCCAAAAGAAAGGAAATCAGTATAGTGAAGAGGTATCTGCATACATGTCCATGTTTACTGCAGCACTATTCACAATAGCAAAGATATGGAAGCAATCTAAATATCTATCAACAGATGAATGGATTTTTTAAAATGTGACATAGATGCACAATAGGATATTATTCAGACATTAAGAGAGTGAACTCCTGTCATTTGCAGCAAAATGGACGGAACTGGAGGGTCACTATGTTAAGTGAAAT